GAGGGGGAGGGGGCTTGGGGCACGGGCATGCAAGACGTGAATACGTGACCACAACTATGGGACAGGTGTTTGCTGGAGCGATTTTGCATCCCACCCCGTCTGAACATCGTCAGCAGCAGGCTTGCTGCAAAGCAGCTCGAAACGCTGGCCAGCGGCCGCTTCCACAGCCGCCAATTCCCACCTGCCCGCGCTGCGTAATTTCGATGACACCCTTCTCGGCCAGGCGCCGCGCGGCCACGCGGGCAGCCTCCATCAACGGGCGCCAAGCCGCGGGCCGCAGGCGCCTGGGGGCCTCACTGGGGCAGCAAGTGGCGCCCGCGCGGCGCCCGCGCAGCAGCTCAAGGATACAAGCCTCCATCTCGGCGCCAGAGGGGCTGGAAGGGGCATGGTATTGCGCGCTTGCCGGCGACGATGACGCTTCATCTGCAGGCACCGGGTTTTCTCCATCCGATGTCCGCTGCTCTGCACTGCGGGTGCTCAAGTCATCACCAGCGCCTGGTGTTGCAGACGGCAGTGCCGCGGCTGCGCTTGGACGTGAGCGCTTTCTGCTAGGCCGTGCTGGCACATCCTCTAAGACGGCTGCCTTATCTTCTTGACCCATTCAGTCAAGAGCACGGAAGTGGATTGCGATCTCGTCGCAGATGATTTTGACAGAGGTCGGCAAGGGTTGCATACCGTATGTGGTGAGTGAGGATCATACTAGTGCAAACCAAAACACAGAATTGACGCGCTGCAGCCTTGCAGATTGTTCGGAGGGGAAGCAGCCACTCAGTGTGTGTGTGTGTGTGTGTGTGTCAGCCGTTTCGCTGCTTCACAGTGCTCTGTTGTGCTCGTGTGTGCGGCACGGCGGCGTCCAGGGCATCCCCGTCGTCAAAATACGATCATGTATAAACGTGTATTGTCACAATGTATGTGTTTGGCACGTTACCGTGCGCGCAAAATAATGCCAGTCCCGCACTACAAGTGGTGTGCTTAGTCATACCATTTCTGAATCACCAGCTGTACAGCACGGTATCCTCGTTCCCGGTGCCAGGTCCATGCACTTGTTAAGAGTAGGCCTTCCCAGGCTGATTGGGATGTCAATTGTGAGCAATGTGCACTGCGTTGTCCGAGTCAGGCCAGTCCAGCCAACAGCGCTAGTAGACAACCGTGCAAGGCTGAAGCCCAAGAAGCTGGGATGCTGCTCAATTCCTTTCCTGCAGCTGGTCAGTTGTGATTACATGAAAGGCAGGAAACAACGCAACAATACACACCAGGAACAGCAAACCGTCGTGCAGGAAAGGCTGAGACACCAGATACTGCCCTGCAAACCGCGCTCGCACGTGGCTACTCCTCCGACCCTCTTCATCCTGCCGCCGCCGCAGCTGCCGACCGCGCCGGCCCAACAGCCCCCGACCTCACGCTGTGCCAGGCCGGGCGCTGCCGAAACCTTGGAACCTCCGAACAACCAGATCACCAGATCTCAGATCACCGCAGCGAGCTGAAGAAGATCACCGCCACCGCGCCCACCGCCAGCATAACAGGGATGAGGCTGATACCGTAGAGCGTGCCGTAGCCCACCCAGTCCGGCATGAGGTCTGCCAGGGTCTGCGGCTTGTCGCCGGCGCGCGCCTCCTTCCCCATGATGTACGGCTTCACGATCGAATCGGCTGGGGGTCGCAGACGGGAGTGCAGGGGTTGGGGGCGAGTGCAAGGCGTGTTGAGGCATGAAAGTCGTTTGCTGTGCCTTCGCAGGCGAGCATGTATGGATTCTGATGTTCTGTCGAGACACGCCGCCGTCCCTGCGCATGCTCAGCAAACCAAGCCCCCGTCCGCCCCGGCCCCCCGCCACGCACACGCCCGGCCCCTGTGCAACTCACGCCCGGCCTGGCTGAGCGCCGCGTACGCGTCCCGCGCCTCGCCCGCCGCGCCCGGCGCAGCCGCCGCGGCGGCCGGCGCGGCGGCCGGCCGCGCGGGCTCCGTGTCCTGCAGGTATGGCCATGAGGCCATGTCATCGTACAGGCACTTGAGGGCGAGGCGGTCCTTCGGGATGCGGCCGGATGCCACCTCGTCTAGGGCAGCCGCCATCTCGTCGCGCGAGACGCCGCGCTCGTCCTTTGGGGGGCGGGGTGTGAACGGGCGGCGCGAGATGGCTTGAATGCATGCATGTTTTGCGTGTGTATGTATGTATGTATGTATGTATGTATGTATGTA